TGGTGGGCGTCTCAGTGGTAGGAGCTTCGGTGGTAGGGGCTTCAGTGGTGGGGGCTTCAGTGGTGGGGGCTTCGGTGGTCGGCTCAGGGGTGTCAGCGACACTCGTGGTGGTGGGAGCTGACGTTTCATCAACATCGGGCTCGCCGGTGGTGGGTTCAGGAGTGGAGGCTCCAGTTGGGACTGTCACGGCCGGAGTAGGAGCAGGTGGGGTGGTCATGTTGTCACTGGTTGGGTAAGGGGTGGCAGCTTCGATGACGGGCGTCACCGTGGACGCAGCGGCTTCAGTTGTGGTAGGTGCAGAAGTGTCAGGGTATGCAGTCGTTGGCTCGGGGGTGTCGTCGTCAAAGTCAGGCTCTCCGGCCGTGGGAGATGGAGTGGGAACGACAGTGGGAACGGTCACGGCTGGAGTAGGTGCAGGTAGTGTGGTTGCCGGAAGGTCCTCAATTTCGACCGCGTTTTCGGGCGAGATACTGAACGATTCAGCGTACCCGACGACGCTCGTGACGACTTGGCCGTGCTTAAGGTATTTTTGAGTCCACCCACCGCCAGCGACACCTTCAATACGCAACGTGCCGTTGTTCGTGCAAGCTTGCGTGGTGTCCTTGAGCTCGGCCAGTACCTTGAAAGCGTTTTCGACCTTGTCTTCGTAGAGACCACCGTGGAGGTGTTTTCCAGAGTGGATAGAGCCCGCCACTTGGACTTGATGGTGTTCAATGTCCACGGACGCCAGCGCCCCACCCGAATATTTGTCCTTGCCGCGGCTGAGCGGGACGTAGAAGCCACCGCCACCGGCAATCGCTTCCACGAGCACAGTGTGCCCACACAATACCTTAAACTCAGCGTGTGCGCCACCGTCCAAGAAAAGGTACTCACGCTTGTCGACGCAGTCGTCAGAAGGACGCCATTGGAGTGGCGAGACTTGCTTGATGTCCTTGTTGGCATCGTCAGGATGCTCGATGAACGATTGCAGGACCTTGAACGCCGATTGCACAGACAGGTCTCCGCATGACTCGCTCCATTCGGCGCCTTCCGTGTGAAGGGTGAAGGACGAGTCGATCGAGAAGTTGACGTCCGTCGAATCCGAGATCCACTGCGCCAAGCTCGTCACGAACTCGTCCGTGTCGTCGTTCAACTTGGAGATGTAGTCCTCCGACGATCCTTTCGACGTCCACCGCGTTGCGTCTGCCGCTTCGGCCACCGCCAGCGCCGCCACAAGCAACGTCGTCACGGCCTTCATGCTCGTAAATCAGAAATGGCCAAAAGGCTGCCCGACGTGGTCAGCTCCCGCTCGCTTGAAAATTGTATGGCGCGTTTCCGCGAGGACATTCTCTTCAATTTTAGGCATTTGAACGAGGACTGTGGCCTAATTTAGACCTGAAACAAGGCGACGTAGCTTCCGCCAACAAAATGTACTGGTACTTTTGAACATAGAACGAATATGGTGCCAAAGACGTACGCCGACTGAACGCCGCATGAAGATTAGCACGTGGCTGCGGCGTGAGCCTTGCAAGCTTGTCACTGCACGCTTTGGGTGTTAGGCATTCATACGGTGCTGCGCCGGTCCAAAGCCATCCATGTTACAGTTGTTGAGGCAGCTGGTTGTCATCGGTGTAGGTGAATGAATTCAATTTTCGTCGCTTCACGTGGTATGTTGCTGCTGTTTACTCAAATCAAGTATAAAAGTGATGGACTACTTCACAGTGATTCAAGCCAACCTGACAATTTCGCTTGATTTTGTCCAATTTATTGGATAAAAGGTTGACAAAATACGTTGTATTTGGACCAATCCAATCACGCGAATCCATTCAATCACGATGGCAAGTCGCCGCTTCGACGACGACGGCAATTTCGTCGAGCCGCCGATCGGAGAGGAAGCTTTGACGGCGCAAGACTTGCGTGAGCCATATGAGATCGCCCGAACGCCCACGTTAGAGATGCTTCTTAGTATTCCTATCGACTTTATCGTTCGACAAATTCACCTACGCGCGGAGGCCGAGCTCCTCGTGAGGATAGGAGACCTGGGCGCAGAGCTTGACAACCTGCTAGAGTCAACCCTGGAGCAAGCCAGCGACTACGCACGGTGCCACTCCATCTTGAAAGCGGTGGTCCAGTCGTGTGTGTCGAATTCGCTGTACGTCACAGAGTCTGTGACTCGGCACAGTGCAGTCAAAGGAATCGAAACAACCAACTTAACGTTGCTCCATGGGCGCATCAATGCCGCTCTGGAGCAACTCGCTGCGGACCAAGTGGCATTGCAACGATATGTGGACATGAATCGAATGTTTGTGCTGGAGCTTGAAGCGCTGGGCGAAGCGTCGGCGCTAGTCAAGGCGAAGTCGCGCATGTACGTATCCCGTTTCAACTTCCATGCTGAAGATAACGGCGCAGACTGCAAGTGGAAACCATTCTTATCGAGCGCATCGAGTCAATTCTCACGACCAACATGCCACTCTCGATGTGGAACCCGACCGAGATGTGGCCCGATTCTGTCTACTTCCGGTACGTATCCGTCCCATCATCCCACAGCTCATGAGGCGGCGGTTCTAGCGACTCCCAAGCCACGCATATCTCTGAGACCGAGCACAAGCCCGTCGAGTCATCGTCTTCGTCGTCATCGCTCTTTGCCGCCACGAGGCAACGGGGCGACTCGACCTGCTTTGACGACAACCCAATCGTCCACTAGGTTCAAGCACCTGCATTGCATTGAATCAAACTATTCGACCGATCTTGGTGTGGCAACTATTATGCGGTTGGACACGGCGAGTGCTTCTTGCCCAGCTGCGCTTGCATGTACAACAGCATGTTCTTGCGCTCTTCCGACTACGTCAACGAAGCGTGACATGCCGTCCACCATAACGATTCGTCAACGGGACAAGGCGGTGGTTCAATCGGTCGCTCTCTCGTACCTTTTTGGCCTCTGTGGTTTGCCACAGCTTTTGCTTGTGCTCGGTGCATGTCGTCGTCGCCACGTTCAGCTGCTCCTGCAATGCCCAGCACTGGCGCTGCCACGTTTCCGTCTCGTCGATTTGGCTGGGCGGGTTGTGTCAGGTGTTGAATCGGCGCGGGGGCGCCACAGACGTACATTTCCAAGAGTCGGCGCATCTCGAGGGCGGCCTGCTGGGAGCTCGCCATCTCGACCTTGGAGTGCGTGTTGGTGTGCACGTAGTCGTCGACTAGTCGAAACGAACGAAACGAGTGATGCACACGCTGCGCGACGGCAAACGAGACAGGGGACGGCGAATTACATGTCTTCTTGAGCACGTCTAACTCGTCTTGCACTCGTTTCTGGCCATTCCTTGCCATGTTGATTTCTTCCTGGTGGGATGATGCGTGCACGGTCATCGCCTGGACCGACTCGCGCAGTCGTGCCAGCGCTTTCTACCCCACGAAACAACGACAAGTCGTGCGCAAGTCTGCAGAGACATACGTACACTTTTGTCCTCGACTTCTGTGCGCAGCTGCGCTTGGCTCTCAAGGGCGACCTGCAAAAACCACACGGGTCAGCAGAGGGCCTCTATCGTTCCCAACACGAACGGTCAAGTCTGCCTTGAGCTCCATCAGCAGCGCATGCGACGCCTCGAGCGACGTCGCACTGTGCTCGGATCGTCCTGGTCAACCCGTTAACGACACGGGAATTGCCAAAGGAAGTCCCACCGATGTGGATCTCCAATGTATGCAAGTCCTGCGCCAGGATAGACCCGCCGACCACATCGTACAGCTGAAGGAGCCCTTCGGGGGTGATGCCCACTTGCATTCCGCTGCCCCCTTCGTTGAATCGAACGGGACGAGCAGACAGTTTGCACGATACGAGCAGGTGGTCAAACGACTCGGATGTGTACTTGGTGCGATGGCCGAGTGCGGCCTACATGCCCAAGGAAAACGTGGCGTCAGCGCCAGAGGTCGAAACGAAGGAGGGTACTTACCTTGAGTTTGTTCATCTCGTCCATGGACAAAACCCCGTCTCCATCCAAGTCAAACTGGTGATGCATGGCCTTGACCGCTAGAAGCGTCGACGATGGAGTTTGTTCTGGCGTATGGGGTGGCAGCTGGGGACCGCGGTGGCCCCTCGCCCACTCGACGAGGCGAAAGATTTCGTGCTGTAGTAGATGCAGACTCTGCTCTTGCTCCTTCTACTCCAGGTCAGGGTTAGCGGTTCGACGGGCGGGTGGGAGACGCCATACGAGCTTCATGTCGGTCGTGTGCAGGGCTATTCCCTGCGAGTACACCGTTGCTTCCAAGTCCTGCTGCTTCTCGACCATCGACTCGTTCGTGCTGTAGAGCTCGTCCAGCGGGGTAAAGTTGCGGCATCCTTTCTAGAATCGGACCTCGATCACACACTTGTTGAATGCTACGAGATGCACCCAGCAGAACGCCGCGAGGTCCTTCGAGCCGCATTCCCGACACCCCAGCGCATGCGGCGCGGGCGGCGCAAACTTGAACTGTTCGCGGACGCTGAGCTTGGATTGACTGGGACACCATTCCATAAGATTCGCACGATTGTCGACACGGACGGTAGAATCACGTTACAGGTTGACAATGTCGTTGTGGGTGTTTTCCCACAACGTGGCTGCGTCAAGCTCTGGCTCGGATGGACACCTGGCGCAGCATCTGAACGTCTGGTGTGATGGAGAGCGCGCTGCGTACCATGACGCGAGCGACGGCGACCTCGGATGATGGGAACTTCGACGGCGATGAGGCGATTTCGAAGTCGACGATCGACGGCTTTGGAGCCGTATGAGAACGCAAGGGAAGGAGCACCATCGAGGACGAACGAACCTCGGGGACGACGGCGCAGGAGTGGACTTGGAAGGAGATGGCGGTGGGGAGTACGTTTGATTGTACAAGTCGATGAGGTGGGTGCTGCACCGACGAAGTGGGGACCGAGGGGACCGCTGAGGTGCTGCAACGATCGACGCTGCAGCCGCCGCAGACGCATCCAAATCTTCTTTTTTGGCACGTTGAAGCACCAGCGTCAGCGTACTCACAGGTTCCACCGCGGAACGGAGCTCCTTCGTTGTGGGTTTCCTACGTCCACAGCGCATGACATGACAAGCCCGACAAAGCGAACCGTACTTCTTCGTGCGAAACTTCGGTACTGGTGGCTTCCGTGTCGTGATCGAGGTGCAACTGCTCCGCGACCCATGTAAACTCTCGCGCACCGATCCCGCCGCCGCCCGTGGCATTATTGCTGAGGTGACGGTTCGAATTGCCAAACATGAAACGCCCATCGAACGTTGCGTCGGCGCATCCTCGCGCGACCTCCACGATGAAGGCGTATCGTAAGGGAATTTCGCAATTTCGTGCACATGAAGACAACCTGCGTCATGCATGACCGGAGTTGTCCGCAACGAGCTGCATACCCATGCTTGACCTTTGCCCCCCAACCATCATCGATCAGTCCTCGAACGCGCTCTACACCGCTCATTTGATGGCTGCGATTCGAGGCCATTCGTCAGCCCAACTGTGTGGCTGGTTTCGAGCATCTTCCATCGGTACCAACCCGTGCACTCTACAGGCTGCAGTTCGCTTAAACAACCATGTCGTGCGGGCGCAATGGGGATATAATTGTCGCGGAGAGAATGCGTCACTTCCACTGGACTCTAAACTTGTATAAGTGAATGCGAACTCGCATGACGACGCTACACCACGACAGCATTCAACGTTGGCGCCATGACAACTCGACATAAGCGCCGATTGTAGTCGGACCACCTCGTCCATGGTTTCAACCAGATATTCAATCTTACCGCGATCTTGTTTGCTCGAATTCCTCGCAGCCAGCAATTGCGCCACTGGACAGCCTTAGTTCGGAGTGGATGCTCGCTTGCGATCTACAAAACCAGACCCTTCGCTCCTCATCATTTCCATGAACCATCGCCTCTGTAGCGTGAAGGACTACCAAGCGTAATGTATCGCCTTGCCCCACGGCGACGTCAACCAGCTAGTCCCAGAGACTCGCTTGCAGTCGACGAAGGCTTACCCAAACTAGGCTTTGGCGCGGCGATGACAAAGGCATTGGCGCGACGTGGTCGAATTCCTCGCGGCCCGCCGCTTTCATGCTAGAGTTGAGATCAACCAATTATCCGGAACATCATGGACATTATCCGGAAACCCGTGTTGATGGTTTATTCAAAAAGAAATCCAACAGCGCCATGGACGACTGGAGCGATGGAATCAGCAGCGAGATCGCGGCGCTAGCAGAAGGACACTCGCTCGAGGACGATTCGTTGCAGAAACGGACAGCCGAAACGTGGGCACAAGACCAAGCCAAGCGAAAACGTGCCAAGAGCGCGCTCGACCACGCGGCTCATCCAAATTCATTTGCTTCTTTAGCGAATCAGTTGACTTCAATGCACAACGACGATGGCGGCGACACGACAGACAACATCAAGCGGGACGCAATGGACGTCGCTTCTACGATTGTCATTCCTGTGCCAAAACGCCCACACGCGCGGAAGAGCAGCATTGACATGCAGATCATCTACCGGGAGGAGCAAGATACGATTGACCTCCTGGGAGAGACAGAAGACGTCGAGTTCGCGTCGCAGGTGGCCAATTCTGCGCACAACTTGACCGAGACTCAACCTGAGTCAGTGTCGGCCGTGTACAAGCGGATCAAGTTGCATCCTCACGTCGTTGCGAACCTCTCGCCCAAGTTTCTCGCCAGATTGGTGCAGTTCAAAGTGGACGAATTTGAAATCGGGTACGCATTCAGGTCGAAGATAAGACAACTTTTCATCATGAGCCCGACGACATAGTCCTATGTGCCCGTCTGTGACCCTCCGTCGGGAAACCTTCGCTCTCGCGGCCAAGGACTGTCGCGAGGCCACGATGTTTGCGTTCAAGAAGATGAGCAAGGAGCATCTCTCGTTCGAGCTACAGCAGGAGCCAGGTGGGCGGTACCAGGTCTACGCAGTCGACAAGCACACGTCAAATGGCACCAAAGTTGAAGGGGAAGCCATCCGTACGTCATGTCAATTTCATTCGTGCCCAGCTTGCTCATGCCACGTTGTGGCGGAACATGTAGCTCGCGGGGGCAAAGTTCTGCTGCAGCACAATCAATCTGTGGCGATCTTGAGTTCGGGAGCTGGCACGATTCTCCTCGGGTGCGTACATGTGGTGGTGTCCTTTCACCTCTGCCCACGTCCTCCTGCATTCAATCAACAGATACATCGTCGAGGATCCCCACGTGCTCATGGCGCAGCACATTGCGCCCAAGGGCCACGCGCACGCCAGCGCAGTTCAAGCGCTGCCGACCGTCCATTTACAGGAGAACGTCCTTGTGCGACTTGCAGGCAGCTCTAGCCGTTCAAGCGTAACGGGAATATATGGCGGTAGGGCGTTCTGTTCGCGGCCCCGCTGGTCGGAAAAGACCACCAAGGCAACTGCCATCCACTGGACGTACGGCCGCCCGATGATTCCAACGCTCCATGCTGATGCACGAATGAGGTAGGAACTGGATTTGGCCAAGGAGTACAACAACCTCAAGGACGCGCTCATTGATGCGTCCAAGCGGATGGTACTGTCGCGGACCGACCTATATTCCGTTTTGTAAATGATCTCTCTCGTAGAAATTGAAGCCGTCGGACCCATCCGGTAGGGGATGCCCGTCGTGTTTCGCTCTTGACAAGTCGACGATATGTGCATGGCAGTGACGGAAGTATCGCGGGAAGTGACGCTGTCGGTGCATTTTGCCACATCCGACAGCCTCCGGTCGCTCATGACGCTCGGATGCCGCGCGCTTCACTTTTCCGGCCACGGCAGCCCCCAGCATTTGTACTTTGAAGATGGGCTCGGAACGGTGCACCCGATTCCGATCAACGATCTCAAAAACTTGTGCATCTCCAAGAACTCGCCGCTCCGCCTCGTCGTTGTTCAGGCATGCTACTCGCACAACGTCGGTGCGTTCACTCGTTGCAACGTCTTTCAAGTCACGTGGGCGTTGTCATGGGTAGCGACGGCATTCTTGTCGTGCGGCATTCCCCACGTGATCGCGATCAAGTTTGACCAAAAGATCGAGGACATTGCGTCCTCTGTGTTTACCAAGTGCGTGCAACAACGTGGACATGGAGTGGACATGAACGGGATGGGCCTTCTAGAGCGTTTTACACGGCGTTGGCGACAGGACACGCCGTAAACGAGAGCTTCTACATCGGACAGGAAGCTGTTCGGTCGAGCCCTCGCCTGGCGCAGGCGGCAGAGGTTGGCGCCCCACGCAACTCGCCTACAAACCACCCATGTGACGCTTCCTTTGCGCTGCAACTGCCTAGGCGGCGTGCAAGTTTGTGCTCCTTCCAGACGGCGCCGACCACTCGGAAGTTATATTCCCGACGCTCGACGTCAAAACGAGTGCTGCTCCCACGATGGTGCCAAATCCGACGCGGTTTCCCGTGCTATGGGGCAGCACCAAGCTGCCCGCGGCGTGCCCGGTACGCACGACCAACCCCTCGTGCCTGTCCACATAGTTGACGGAATCAATAGCACTTTTGCCATCGCACGATCGAGCAGTACCATGTACGGTGCCGCGCTGAAATTGCACCGATGTCAAAGTCCATGTGTAGGTAATCCATGAGCTCGTCAAGGAGCAGCCCAGCGTTAGCCGGTACGTGTGGATTTCTGGGCCTGAAGGAGTTGGTACGTCTTTTCGAGATGCGCCACAGCACCGTCCCATGCGTTTTGAATGGCGTGTGTTTGCCCGAGTAGGCAAGACGCAGCTCGCATATGCGTGCTGTCGATACATGCATCCACGACGATATTTTGCGGGAGGGATTCGGTTCATTTCTGTCCATCAGCTCGTGTCGACGAAATCGTCGATGGCCACTCGTCAAGCGGTGGCCCCCGACGCGATTCAGCATGTCTTGACCAATTTGCGAGTCCAAATCGATGCGTTTGTCCGGGAAACGGAAACGGGGCCGTACGAGTCTCGTCCATGTGTGTGCACGTGATCTTTCCTGGCATGTAGGAGTCAAGTGACGGGGGGAACGCTCAAGCGAATGCTTGTGGTGCTGGACGAGTGCGACGCGGTCATTTCGACGGACGCGGACCAGCGCAGCTTTGCCAGCGTCGTGCACAACGTCTTGACCAACCACTTTGCGCTCAAGTTGATCCTCACCGCGCGCACCAACATCGTGTCGGATCGGCTGCAAACTCACGGTGGGAGTCCATATCGCCTTGGCTGTTTGACCGCAAACAAGTCGGCCGACCTCTTGCGACGCCACATCACACGCAAGCTCAGTCTGAATGAAGTCCAGTTGTCGCCGCTGGCCGGGACGATGCAGCACCCAAACCCGATGGAGAACCTCACGCGAGTTGTCGCGGCCCATCCCCTCATCGAGCGAACGCAAGGCTTGCCGAAAGCAATCGTCCAGCTCGCATCGCGCATCAATGCGGCGTCGTTGACTCTCGATCAGCTCGCGGCGCAGTTCTCGACGAGTTTGTGAGCGGCGCTTGTCCATACTCGTCCAACTTCTCAAGCGTTGTCGAGCATCGTGAACAACGCACGGACTCGCCACGAATGCGCATGGACGTGAGAGGCCGATGATTGTGCCGAGAATAACTTAATTCGACTAACTTTCGACTGGTCCCTTGTGGAGGAAGGAATCGACCGTCGATGGGCTTCGATGGGTTGTGGCTGACTATGGTCAAGCTCGGGTCGTGGCATCGTTTGGCGCGCCTTGGATGGATCGGGCGGCTGGGGTCTCGGTCGACTTTGGCAACGACTGGAGGAACTCGACCAGACACTCGGCCACTTCCCAGTGCCGCTCTTGATGAACGATGTGGCCAGCATCGTCGACGACCTTGACCCGCAAGTGGGGCTTGATCTTTGCTTTCACGACCTGCGTGATAAGCACACGAGTGAGTTTATGTGGAAGAGCATGGAGTACCTCGAGGCACGATATATCGAGAATCTTGTCATGGTTCCCCCACACCACCAGGCATGGCCGGTGGATCTTGTCCAAGCAATCGTCCAGCACAGACGCGTCCAAGAGGATGTCCCGCATGAGCTTCTCCAGCGCGTCGCGGCGTTTTTCCTGGGTCATTTAGTTGAGCAAGTGCTGACCCCACGTTCCTCTGTCACGTACAACTTCGCGGACAATGAAGTGGACGATAAATCGAGGAATGTACCGCTGGCGGAAGGCCATGTATTCCTGCAAGCGGGTGAAGTCCTCGGGCTTTTCAACGCGCATGTGGTTTTCACCCGTTTCCTCGTACACCTTGAAGATGGGACTTTTGGTCGGCATCGTGATCCCCGCGGGACAAATGAGCGTCACGCTCGCGATCATGTCGGAGTGCCTTGCGGCAAACACGCCACTGATCATTCCGCCCATGCTGCACCCGACCAAGTGGATCTTGCGTGATGGAGGTAGAACCCGATCGAGGAATGCGAAGAGCCGGTCGGCCTGCTCGTCGGCGCGGTAGCTTTCCAAGTCGGACGAAGTGTTCCCGTGGCCTGGCAAGTCTGGCATAATCACACGATAATCGTTGAAAAGCGGACGGATGCACCGAAGCATGGACTCTTTCACGCTCGAGAATCCATGCAGAACCACGACGATCTCGTCTGTCGGCCGATGCGAGTCCAAGTACGACCATGTCAGGCCGCCCACCGTAACCTCTTCGAGGGAGAGGCTGTAATACCACCGTGCCAGTGCAAGCCTACGAACTGTTGAGATACCCCACCCATCTTCATCATCTAATAGATCTGGGCGCGTACAACGAGTCCACTACCACGCGCATCGCTCTCCGCCGTGCTGTTGCCGAAGAAACGCGGTGAACAGGCGCTGGCTTTGATTGTGCTCATTCAGGCAGGGTTCGACTAAAATCGACGAAATCTTAATGAGAAGAGATGTATCTTTCTCGACAAATCGGGGTGATTTTACACCAAAAATCCAAAGCTCTATTCAAAATGCTCCAGAGTATCTCGATAATTGTCAAGGTTTTTCGGATGAATCCCCGTCAAAACATCGAGGAAGCGATATGAAATTACAGAAATTTCTAGTGCTCACAGCAAAAATACACAATATTTTCGTGAAATTTGTGAACGTATCTTCCTTGGAGAACTGAGAATGTGGTCGCATCCACTTGTCGAGACCGGCAACACGGCGGGATGCCGTGCGGCGCATTCGTGCGATTACATTGAAAGAGAGGAAGCGCTGTACTTGTTTGGAGGGTGGAGTGGCAAGACAGCGCTCAATGACGTGTGGCGCTTCGACTTGACCACGCTCGAGTGGACGCTGGTGCATGCAGAAGGCAAAGTCCCTCGGCCACGCAACAACCACGCGTCCGCCGTTGTGGACAGAAAGATTTACATCCATGGGGGGCACGACGGAACGACGTGGCTATCGGACTTTTTTGTCTTTGACACAGAAACGTCGACGTGGGCCGAAGTGGTACGTGTTCTGCACCAAACAAATTTGCATTGTCAACGCTCGGTAAACTCATGCGCTTGTGTGCAGACCACTTCCGGCGTCGGACCAAGTGCGCGGGCATGCCACACGATGTCGAAAGTAGGCGGGAAGCTGTTTGTGTTTGGCGGATTCGATGGTGTGCATTGCTTTAATGACGTCGACATTCTCGACTTGGGTACATGTTGTCCCCGCCGACCTTCTCCGACGCTTGCTCATGGGGAATGACCCAGACACATTCACTTGGATTCATCCAACTGTGCATGGGTATCATCCCGCCCCGCGGAATGCCCACACCATGTCCATCGTCGGTGCGTCGCTCTTTATGTTTGGCGGCCACTCGGGAGCCAAGCATCTCCGCGACCTGTACGAATTCCACACAGGTGCATCTGTCATGCCTTGTCGCATCGATCTGTCAACTTCTTCTTTCCCCATGCGCAATAGAAACCCTTACTTGGACGCACTTGGCAAGTGTCGACGGCTTGTTTCCGCCGGGGCTACGCGGCCACACCGCGAACGTGAAGCAGCCCAAGATTTACTATTTCGGTGGGTACGATGGCCGGGGTCGGTCAAACGAGCTCTACATCCTCAACACACGTACGTGGCTGGATTCGCCGTGAACGTCATGCTGTGCAGAGGACATGCGATGGGAACGACCGCCGGAATCGCTCAGCGCAGGTGCACCGTCGGGGCGGCAGCGACACAGTGCGTGCTTGGTCCGATCCAAGGTACTCATGTGTTGCCGCATCGGGGGCACAGCTCGATTGTCAGCATCTGCGACGTAGATGTATATAATCGGCGGGTTTGATGGGTTCAAGTGGCTTGAAGACACGCATGTGCTGGACATTTGCCGCATTGACGAGCAAGCGATTAAACTCGAGACCCAGCGCGGGATGGTGGGGCACTATCGAGAGCTACTGTTTCAGCAGGACGCCACGTACAGCGATATCACGTTTTTGGTACACGATGAGGTCGTGGTCGAAGAGTCACAGGTTGGGCGGGATGCAGGTGCAGGGGAAGCCCATCGTCGCCCACAAAGCGATCGTGGCCGCGCAGTCGACGCATTTTCAGCGAATGTTCTCGAGCGGGATGCGGGAGTCTCACCAGTCGACGATCGTGATCACGGAGTGGACCCATCAAGCTTTTTTGCACATGCTGGTCCGTTGCTGAAGGTGCATGGCACAAATCACGAATTGCGACGCAGGAATTTTTGTACACGGGATATGTGGAGAATTTGACGGTGGACTCCGCGCTCGAATTGCTCGGGATCGCAGACCACTACGGCTTGGAGGTAGCATTGTCGTTGAGCACTGGCAATATGAAACATGGCGTCGACTAGCGCCTGGCGTCGCTGTGCGACAACTTTCTGGCCCACAAGATGGATACTGAGACAGTGTGTCATGTGTTGATAGCAGCGACCCATTTCCAAGTGAGTGTGTCCATTCTACGACAGGGTTTCACCGGTTTTCCAGGCCAACTCTCTCAAGGCCAACTGCATGCGATACCTGCAAGTGCATTTTCACCGTGTTGTGTCCACCAAGGGCTTTGAAGAGCTCGGCGAGTTCCCGTCGTTGCTGCTCGAAGTCACCCGGGCGTCGATGCTGTTGAAACACAAACCACAGATGTAAGAATTCCACGGTAACATGAACGAGTGGACGACGCACACTTCTGCCCCATCGAACGAGTTGCGCCGACGGTGCCGCTGCTCGCGCTGTCTGCATGGTCGCGAGCCACCCAGATGCTGCAGCAAAGAGGATGGAGTTATAGCTGCGGTGAATTTTTCATGGCAATCCTCGCACTCTACCTTCGACACCCGTCGCTCCCCCACACGCTTTCGCCGCGAAGAAGAACCCTTTGCCTTGACGCTGCTTTCACACAATCGTAAACTATCGTGTACAGCGCGTCGGCTCGGTACGAACGAAATCCATGGATTGCGAGCTACGTGACATATGACATACAGCGGGTGGGATGCATAGTGTGGGTGGCACATAGCACTCAGCAGCACACGCTAGCAGACAGTCCACTCTTGTCCACTTTGGTACCACCATTCACTCGTCCGTTCACCGTGGGCGTTGCGCGTCTGAGGCGTCGGTACCCACAAATGCGCAACGTGCACCGCGCAGCCACCGCGACGGCGCCGAGACTCAGATTTTCGCGGATGATATAATCGCCATTGTATTAATATCTGGCGCACGATTACAAGTCATTCAAAATAGCGTCCCCGAATTGAGTTATGTGGTGAGTACTTCCCCAGTGCCATAGTTTGAAAGAATGCATCCATGATATAATGAACAGCGTCGAAGAGGTGCGATATTCAAACGACAATTTTGAACGGGACAAGTATGCGCATCAGATGCTGCTGCGCGCGATATTTCGAAGGGCGACTCTGATTATCCGGATGCGCCTTTCCGCGCATGTGATTGGGCCAACGGATGGACCGCTGTACAAGCCGCTCATTTGGTACATGCGAACACATGCACCTCCCGCGGACGCCCCAGCGATGGATGTTCATGGTTGCTGCGGCCATGATCACGAGTTGTGTTGTTTTCCAAATAATCTACAGCTCCTATGCTTTAAAAGCACTCGACGTGGCCAGCCCGAGGCGTGAGGTATCGTTTGTTCGTGCCGTCGTGGTATACGTGCCCCCTGATCGAGGCAGCGACGCCTTGCACGAGTTTCAGTGGCTGCACGCAAGTTGGAAGGATATGATTCAGCATCAACCCTCGACGTGGCGCACGGACCTTGTTGTATTCACCACCGGCGACACCGTAGACGCAGACCTTCTCCCCAAGGAATTGAAGTGCTCGGCATCCCTTGACTCCCCACCACGTGCTAATCGTGTCGACATGAATCAGTGCACCGTCGTGTTTTCTATTCCTACAAGCGATGCCGCCGTCGTTTCTCAACTTGACGTGTTTGCCGCTGCCCAATTGCTCGACGCAGTCTCGATCGCCGACCTTTCCATCTATGATTGGACTCTCGTCACTCACGCAAGCGCAATCATCGCCACCGCCTTTGCCAGCTGGAAACCTTCCAAGATGACAGTCGGCAGTGGTGTGATGACCGAGCCGTTGCCCCAGCAAGTTCTCAACGAGATGGCGGCACTGACCAAGGAGCTTGGATTCACAACAGCCCACCCCACGAAGCACACGTTTGGGTCGTCCTGGTATGGGCCGACAGAAGATATTCAAACTTGCGGGAAGGTTGCGCTAGGCGTGATGCAGCATGTGATGACGGGAAAACGAATCGGTTCAGCTAAAAAATTTTACGATGCCTCGTCGTTTCTGCCAGAGATAGCCTCGACCGTGGCGTTGCCGAAATGCACGCAGCTCGTTGGTGGCGTCGACTTCCAGCCATCGATGCTCGACGCGCCCGCTTTCACACTGGATTCCGCGTCCGGCCATGCCATCTTGCTGCCGCCGACGGAACTTGCAGCCGTTGTCTACGAGCCGTCCAACTCTTCCATTCCCATGGACTCAACGTTAGGGTTTGCGCTCGGTATTGCCCGAAGAGCCATGGCTCCGTCGCAGGTGTTTCAGAACGAATTGACGACAGGCGTCAACCAGTCGTTTGTTCGCGCGATTGTTGTGTACTTTCCGTTTGTGTCGTACCACACAGGCCAAGCTGAGCTCCGATGGCTCCACCGAAGCTGGCACCAAATGCTCCGCCATCAACCTCTCCAGTGGCGCACCGACTTAATTGTGTTTTCAGACCATTCGTCGCCTTTGTTTGACCAGTTGTTGTGCAACTCGTCTTTTCGCCAGTCCGTTGACGAGCCCGACCGCTGCATCGTCATTGATTCGTACCGCCCTCCAGCCCATCACTCGAGCAACGTCGGCATCCTGGATGTCCTAGCCATGAAGCATCCTGCCTTGTCCTCATATGACTGGATCTTGCGCTCCGACGTGGGTGCCATTATCACGCCCCGGTTTGCCACGTGGAGACCAACCGCGTTTAGCGTGAGCAGCCCCAATGAACCGTATTGTGTGCCCAACACCCCCATCTGTCCACGATTAAAGCGCATTGCCAAGGACATGGCGCTGACGGCGCCTGTGAAGCGGGAGGCGTTCGGATCAACGTGGTTCGGTCCGTTGGAGG